CACTCGCACTCCTGTGGTACCCTTTGTACTCTTCGAAACGACGTGTGTCAGCTTAGGGGCGCTCATATCATCAACAAAGACTTTGACCTCCTTGTTGATGACAGTCACCCTTAGATGGTAGTCTGTTCCAGTCTGGATCGGCGTCTGGGCAGATGCTAGTTGAGTCCAACTGTGGTCCATTTGACCTAGAACGACCTCGCCTGATGCGTCAATTGCAGCGTAGAACCCAGTCAAGCTGTCGATTCCTGCTGAAGCACTCGTAACGCCGAAAAGAACTCCCGCATCACCGGAATCTTGAGCGTTTGACCCAACATCTGGATCAACGAGGGCGATGTCGATGTCAAACACCAAATCCTCGAATCCTGTGTTCTGAAGGGCCTTTCCACTTGTGGCCTTTTCCGCCTTAAGCTTCCCGTCCTTGACTGAGAAGGACCCTTCAAAAGAGGTGTACCAGCCAATTAGGTTCCCGTCCTCAAAGTTGTCCTTGACCAGCATCGTAACTGGCTTGATTGTCCCATCCTCATTGAAGTACATCCTATCATAGGCAAGATGACGATGGTTGCCATCACTATCGCCTAATGGCCTGCGGTGATAGAAGATGTACCAGATGTCCGTTCCGGGGACTTTGATGACCCCGTTATGGCCAGAACCAGTTGCTACAGCGGTATCCTGCTGGAGAATCTTGGCTTCCCGGTTAAAAGGGCCAATGGGTGAATCCGAAATGGCGTATGAGACTGAGTAATCCGGGCCCGTCCATCCCCCTTCAGACCACATGAGGTAGTACTTCCCATTGCGCTTGAACATCAGGGAACCCTCCACATAGTTCTCGGGTGTGATTTCTTTGAACTGGCTCCCGTCTGAGAAGGTGCCGATGCTGACCATATCGCTGTTCAGCTTGGCAACATTGGCATGCGCGTGGCCACCATAGTAGATATACGCCTGACCATCATCGTCGATGAAGACATCTTGATCGATGGGTTGTGCCCCATTATGGTACTCGCCAATGAGCGGCTTCCCGATCGCATCTTTGTAAGGGCCCTCGGGCTGGTCTGCTACGGCAACACCAATACCGCCAACCTGCTTTTCTCCCTCTTGGATATCATTGGCTGCAAAGTACAGGTAGTATTTTCCGTCGCGTTCAATATGGGCGGGCGCCCACATGGCTCTGTTTGCCCAAGATACCTGGGCTTTGGTAATGATGTCCGCATGTTTGGTCCAGTGCACTAAGTCGGTCGAAGAGAAAGCATCTAGATAGGTCTGCTCGTCATAGGCGTAGGATGAGGTCGGGAATACCCAATACCGGCCCTTGTAGACGCATGTGTCGGGATCGGCGTACCACCCGTCCACGAAAGGGTTGCCGGCTTCCGAAGTGGTGAAATCTGGGAGCGCTCGCCTCATGGTTGCGGTGTATGAACCACTGGAGAAGAAAATTGCTGTTGTGTAGAATGGTAACTTCATTTTCGGCGAGTCTGAGTGTCAGATGTTGAGGTGGCGTTATTGAGGGGTAGCGGTTGTGCATTCGGAACAAAGACTGCCTTTTGTACGTACAAATGCTACCTTGACCTTGAAGTCGCACCCGATATGAAAGAGAGAAAGCTTGCCTTGCTGCGTCACGTTGCTGCAAGAGGGCACATCGCACGTTTAAATGACATTTTTGGATTCCCAAAGTCCAGCTTACCCAAGTCCCCTAATAGCGTGCAGGAGGATTTTAGCGCTCATCTGTAACTCTGCTGCCTGGCGGCCATGACAATCTAGGGGAACTTTGGAAGCAATTATTTTTATGCTAATCCACCATGACGATCACTCTCGAGTACTAGACATGGGATTGAACGTGTTCTTCTGACAAATTGGGACCGAGGAACCTTCCACTGAAACGCTGTATACTCAAGCTACTCTTTCAAGCCTTCTAGAGAAGGATTGGCAATTGCAACATTGTCTGAGTAATTATTGGAAGAAACTTTGGACAATTGTTGTGCAAAGAGAACAACGAGAACTTTTGTACTTAAAATGCTTGGAACTACTTTAGTCTTCTGGATAACTCCATAGAACCACTGTACTCCGTCTCATCGTGTCCTCGTTTGAAAACGCCAGGCGGTATCATTGCATTCCCTCTCTTTGGGTCAAACCTCACATCACCTACTTTCCACGGCCTCGGGACCTGGTTATGTTGACCCGCCCGAGTCTCGGTCAATGGGTCCTTCCACTCCGCTAACTCCAGATCAGATCTTGACCTCCTCAAACCTGGGCTCGCTGCGGTAGCCGTTGCAATCGAGGCTGCTCCTAGACGGCGCATCATGGACTCTTCGTCACTAGCGAATCGAGCCGGTGGTGCTTTGTGGTCCCGTACCAATGCTCGCAGTATTGGTATGGTTGCAGCGATGATGGTGACAACACTTTCTGCTGCACCCCAGATCACCAACTCGACAGTATCGATAATGTCGAAAGCTCCTATCGCAGCAATCGTTCGGATCTTGATAAAAGATACAGCACCGGCGCTGGCAGAAGTATTCGTCAGCCACGTGGATCCCAACTTCCAAGCGGATCGTTGAAGCACAACTCACAATACGCCCATGCTCATAGCAATTAAAACACCAAATTTCTCTTTTTTGGTCATAGTAAGTCCCCATATAATCTTCCAAGGCAAGATGGCCAGTACGATATCCATCCCTCCAGAGTACGATGCCGTGAAGACGTTGTAGTTCATCATGATGCTCTTCGGCCAGCAGGTGCCAGGTGTTGAGGCTGTCCTCCAAGTCTTCTCAACAGGCCAACATTGTATCCAGGTAAAGAGCACATTGACGCCGAGGAAAGTGTTGATTGAGATTATGATGAACCATACGAGCAGCTTCATCCATCGTTCGGATGATTCTCGTGTGATTCGAAGCAGGGTCAGCGCGAAAGACGTCTTGCTCCAAGCTGCTGCGACGATTGAAAACGACCCAGAAAGGTTGGCGTAGAGTAATAGCCATGACCAATTTCCCGGTGTGATATCCCAGTTATGCTTGCCAAAGTCGTATGACACGTCGATAGAGATGAACGATCCCAGAGCTAGCAGAGCGCACTAATCAAGGCGTCGTTAGGTACTGGCAACTTCGTCATCAGTCGCAATTGAGGTTGTCTTACCCACGATGCAACCAGCACATGGTCGTCTAACCACAGTCCTCTTCCACGCGAGAACTTGCAGTATATCCGTAGGCCAATAAATGCACCAGCAATACCAATAAGAGTCCATACTGTGGCGAGCAACCCTGGGCCATAGTCGTCGTGTGGGAGTTCGTCCCAAGGGGTATCGTCCATAACCACGAGATGTGCTCAATCACGACGTGGTGTCGAGAACCACCGCATGCAGAACTCTTCTATGCCGCCCCAGCTGCCAAGGGGCAAGGTGGTATAAAATGGTCCCAAAGATCGAAGAGATCCCCGAACAGGGACCTTGGTTGCGTCTGAAAGGCGATGCATGGCTATAAAAGAACTGGTCAAGTGGCCTTCCCGCCCCTTGCCCTCCGCACATCACCCGAAAAAAGGAGTTCAGCCGGTAGACCAAACGCTACCACGACAGTTTTATGGTTCCAAGGTAGTCGATCCATCAAGGGTCGCAGTGCGACATCACTCGTCGGCTCACCCGCTGTCTAGCAATTGGAGAAGAAGGGGTGCCCCTGAGTGTCAGAACCGGAAGCGAGATGAAGTAGCAGCGAACAGTATCATCCCCCGCACTCCCGCCCGGCCGAAAAGTCAGAGCACGGACGGATCGGGCTCTCCCGCAGGGTGACAGCCGATGGAACTGGCGGCACGAAAGATGAATCAATTCATCGTGGCGAGCTTCGCATGCATGGCTGTGGATTTCCCACCAAGGCCCTTCGAGAAAGGAAAGCTCTACGGAGTAAAAAGTGCTCTCATACCACCACGTATGTACGCTCGGGCCTGGACAAGGGGCTTGCCCATGGTTCTGTCTCAATGAATCCCGGATTACAGCTTGGCATGGCCACGAGTATCGTGAACACGACCTCCAGAGTCCGATATATGAAGGAGATTCACAGACCAGTCTACCCAAGACATAAGGCGTACGAGTCGTCTGACTCGAGAGCAATACCCTAGTCATGTTGACTTACTGTGTGAACTTTGAGGATTCAAGTTCACCGGAGTGGAGTCTTTCGACTCAATACCCCGACCGATCTCTGTAGGACAGCTTAGCGACTGTTTGAACTCCCCAACTCCTTTCAACTCACCCTCCCACAGTTCGTCGAAGTATCCTTCTATTTGAGGGCGCGGTAGTGCAAGATCACTCATGCAGGCCTCATGATGAGCTCTACAACTACCTCTCACAAATATCTGAAGCTGTGATTGACTCAAATGTTGGTGCTCTGCACCATTACCCAGCGTGAAGGGGCCAGGTGAAAACCAAATGAGATACTTTAATCTACATTTTCAGGCTGCCAGTCGGACCCGGGCTTAACCTCAGTATTCACGACCATTTACTCACTTCAACCGCAGACAGTTACATCCTGCATCCGCATTTTCACCTCCTGCAAGACTTTTGCGCCCATTTGCAGTCAGGTTTGTTCAGCCCTTTCGCCTCTGCCTATGGACCCTTGGCAACATTGAGCAGACCGAAGCGCAACCCTCTCCAGCGGGCATGCCGCCTGCGTGAGTTTATTTCCGGTTCTAGACCACCAGAAAGAACCGCAAACAGCAACTTCACCCGGACATCCCGGGAAGCAGGCCATTCCTCGGTCGGCTTGGTATTGGTCTCGATTGCTTCCATGATTTCGGAGAGATTCCCCCTTCAGCTCGGAAGATGGCTTCCGTGCTCTCGGCCTGAACTGAATTGGAGGCATTTCCCAACTCCAGCACACCAAGTCGCTGAAATAAGAAGCAGCACCTCATGGGCTATCTGAGAAGTTTCAATCTATTCCACCATCGGCTGGTTTCGTGTACGATCATCCGAGGAGAGAAAAAAAGCCAAGTCCGCTCGATAGTAATCCCACGTCACAACGAATCACTCACAATAAATCGATCAAGTCCTTTGCCTGTCTCTCTGGAAGCCCCTGCACAGCTTGTAGTATCCTTCCCGCACGATCGCTATCATAGATAGACGCGGTCAAGCCTCTGAATTTCTTCTCAACTCGCTCGTGCGAAAAGGGATGCTCATCCTCTCCCAGGGGATACACCATCGCTTCTTCGATATCGCCTACGCCACCTATGCCTGAAAATGCCATCCGCACCTCAAATTCTTTCCCGAGTGTGTGGTCGATCTGGACCTCAATCCTATCGCACAGCTGTGCAACTTGCTTGCTCTCCATCTTGTCGGTATCGTATGCACCCCAGCCAATGTCGCTACCGAATAGCCACGCAACAGCGACTTGGTAGTAAATGCTGAACTGAGCATCGACGATGGTTTTGGGGTGCTTCTTGTTAGGACTGGGCTCACCAACGATGCCATATCCAGCTCGAGTCAACCCTAGGACTATTCTGTCCGGCAGCTTCTGTGAGTCGGACTTTGCGGCAAGTCTTGCTGTGATTTCGATGGCGGTATGAGTAAACCGACATGCGGGGAAAGGCTTCAGTGCTGTCGCTGGGTAAATCCATTCCATCCCAAGGCTTTCGGTCAATCCAACGGCGTTGACGTTTGCAGAATGAGCTTGCAAGAAGCCCCATTTGCCCTCAACGATGTGAGAGGCCCCAGTCACGCCAGCCTCCGCGAGAGCAACACAGAGGAAGGCATCGTGGGCGGCGAAGCCAGGATGTAATCGCTTGTTCCAAGATCCATTGTCGAGAAACTGCATCGAACCAGCGGTCTTGGAGCCCGCTAGGCCGAACGCATTGTAAACTTGTGCAGACGTCAGGCCCTTGATCTTGCTGATGGCAGCGACCGCTCCGAAGATACCGGCCGTGCTGGTGTTGTGGAAGCCTCGAGGGTATCCACCATTTGACAAGGCACGACCAAGACGAGAAGCGACCTCGTACCCAACGGACAACGCCGTGAGCAGTAAGGTTCCAGGGGCATCTGACACCTCGGCCTGCGCTAAGGCAGCGGGAATGACACTTGCGCCAGTGTGAATGATACCAATAGCGAGCGTATCATCGTAGTCGAAAGAATGCGCAAACGCCCCGTTCAGCAAAGCTGCGATTTGGATGGGATAAGTCTTTTCTTTGCCGTAGACTTTACTCTTTCCAATCGAGCCCATGGCGAAAGCCTCGACGCCCTTGATGATGTGCTCACTCGACTCCGAATGGGCACCTCCGCCGGCCCCCACTCCGATATGATCAATGACGAGATTGAAGAGTTTTGCGAGGGCCTGGTCTGGGATATCCTCGAACTGAGTCCGGACTATGAAGTCGCAAAATCTCTCTGTCGCATTTTCTGCGCCTGGGAAGCAGTGATCCTATTTAATTTTAATCATGTGTGGCAAGGAGAAACAGAAACTACTCGCATAGAAACTTACGTTGTGATTTTGTGCCATTTTATGTTCTGGTGCGTGTTGAGAAGAAACATGCGATTTACGTCGAATTTGTTTGTAGCCGGGTAAGATGTTATTGCCACAAACTAGCCCCAAATCCCAGCTATACAGACATTTAGATATGAGACCGCCTACATGTACTTATGAAGAGTGTCGTCATCACATAGCCGATCGGTTCACGGCTATGCCGGGGCTAGGACGGTATTCAAGCTCAAAATGCGGGGGAGGGGCCGAGCGGATGCATACACCCGGTGCTCCATCATTTAACTATCGACCTGTGGAGCAGCGCAGGCACCACGTCGGTTGGTAGGTACCTGATGCAGAGTACCTAATGTCTAGTATCGTTATTTATGTTCGATCTTCTTAGAAACTCTACTTGTTGACTTGTGAGAATAGAACTGATCGATCTCTCTGTTACTATCTACCATTTGTTGAGCTTGAATCTGATGTTCTCGTCAGAAGTTTGCACATATTTTTCCTAAGATGGTAGTGTTGACATGAAGTAAGGTAAGACAGATTACATGCTTAAGCTCAACGTAGGTAGCAGAATCGCAAGCATGACATTGAGACGTTTCAACTGCTGCGATGAATTACTACTCAACGCGAGTTTGCCTTGGGAACTCGCTTCTGAAGTCTCCTGGAAGAGGTGCGCGGACAGGAGATGCTGGTACACATACTTCAATAGGTTTTAGATATGACAATTCAGGCTTTGCTTCTGCGTGTGAGTGTTTCTGTCATTCTCAAATGGTCTGAGCCTTTGTTGCAGCTCTAGAGCCATCTGGGCCTGGCAAGCATACTAGAGTACGTGTACATCTGCTTCTAATCTCCTTTTTTGTGTGTCAATGTTATGTTCGAATTTACCTAGTCAGCTTCTCCCGGACTTGTGAGCCAGAGGTATGATGTAATCGAAAGGTCTTGAACTGTTTACAACATATCTCCGCTCGTATGAGGCAAGAGACCAGCCTTTTCAAGAACAAAGACCACATGCTACCATACCATTGCCAGGTGTCCTAATCAATTCCTAGACCTCGATCCAAAGTAATGAACAGTCTGAGCGCCTGGTGAGTACTGGTAGACAGTTCCGGCCTGCAAATACTTCAGCGAGAATCTATCGAAGCCGACATTGCCTTGGTCAGAGTCTACGACAATTACTTAGACCCTTAGCTCAGCGTTTTCAACTTTCCCTGTCCACCTTTTGGTGGTTAAGAACGATCGAAGCGCTATTTGTATGAGATCTCCCAAGCTCTGGTAGGTGGGTTTTATTTGGCTCCAGGTGGGAGAAGTAGGAGGGCTAACGTCCTGCAGGAGGGTTGATCTCCTGTCAGATGTGTAAGCTGACAGACAAGCTGTACAATCTGGGCAAACTTTGCCATGCATGGTAGAGCAACTCGTGTGGCCTGCCAAGCCCTGTGGCTTTGGGGCGAGCCTGATCCCTTCAACAATCAGCACTAGAGCAATCTCGGTCGCATCGCCTCATGATTCGACACTGGGATTGGGATCCTTTTGTTTGCTTTAATCTGCGACTGCACATCCTCGCCGAACAAAGCCATGGCCGATAATCTTCAATTTCAACTGTTGATTCACTCAATGAAGGCACTTTGAATACCAAAAACTTGAGCGGGCGATTTCCCGACCGAGCATCGTTGGTTGCCCGGAGATGGGTCGACCCGAGAATGCAAGAATAGCGTGTCATCCCGCCCTCTCCCGCACCACATAGTAAGCTGCTTACCCCCTCCTCGGCCACAGCCGACCGCTGCATCGTAAAAGTTCTGCATTTCGTCCGTCTGTTGGTGTGGTCTCTGGCCGGTCAGCTCTGCACGGTGAGTGGGCCAGGCATCCAATTCGACCGGGATCCTGCATTCTGCTTCCAACAGTTCGTCTGACTGGCGAAGACTGGACGGGGTTCGATTGCTGAATATTCTCGGTTGGCCTGCCTATTTCAGATAGCTTGGGGGCTGCGTTGTCTGCATGTTGGTGTTGAACATCACAGTACAGGGCATATCGTATGCGCGTGAGACTGCGCCCCCCTCCCTTTGTCCTGGATTCTGCCAGTCAGACACCGGGGAGGCTTGAGATGAGGAGGAAAAGGTTGCACAGAAAATCCATCTGTTATGTTACACGCGGGTAGGGCCTGTCTTCATAGAGCTGAGAAGTCCCCCTCAATCTGCGGGAGCCTTTTCTTTTCCCTTCCCCTGGGGGTTTCGGTTCTGCTTCTTCCGACTTTCCTCTCATTCCACAACACCCGACCAATGCCGTTTGCGACTCGATATTGAGCGACTCAACTAACGTTCTCACAATGTTAGCTTCAATGCTGGGAGTGGTCTTGAGCCTCTCGCTTTACTCTCTTGGTGTCTTGTCACAAGAAGCGTCGTGTTACGCACCGGACGGCACCCTCGCGGATAACGAAACGTACGTTCCGTGCAACAAACTCGGTATCAACCAGGCTGGAGTCTTCTCGAGCTGCTGTGCTCTTGATGGTCCTCCAGAACAACGCGATATCTGCTCCTCTTCCGGTCTCTGTATCAATCGTCAGCAACAGCCACAACGCGGCTTCTGCACCGACAAGACGTGGAAGAGCAAGGCCTGCAACCATGTTTGCACTGATATCCAGGTACGTCCCGAACTACTGGCGTTATTTAATTCCATGAGAAACAAAGAATGACAGTGAACCTTGCGTCTCAGACCGGCGGGAACCCGAGCAACATCAGCTTCATGACCGCATGTAACGACGGCACAGCCAAGTATTGCTGTGGACAATCAAATACCACGTGCTGCGGTACCAGTGAAGCGTTTACAATCGCTACTCAGGAGGCGGTATGCACAGCGAACACCACCAACACCGATGGAACTACAGATGATGGGTCCGCGTTCAAAGGCGCCACTATTGGTCTCGCTGTCGTCACCGGTGTTTGCCTCTTGGCTGGTCTGGTATCAACCTTTTGGCTCTGGAACCAAAACAAGAAACTAAAGAAGGAATTGGCCGAAAAGGCGGAAGCTCCGAGCCAACCGATGGAACCGCAATACACCGGCGCAACGAGTTCGTATGCTGCAACCTCGCCACCAACAGGGTACAAGCCTCCGTACAGCACATCACCGCCCCCAACCATGTCGCCAGGCTCAGAGTATCATTCAAGCAACATTCATCGATACTCTGAATTGGATGCATCAGCAGCTGTGGCGAGGAGCGAGATGGGATCGCCCTCTCCATATGACCAACAACAACACCAGCAGGGCCGGGACTCGCCGGCTCCTAGTCACCAACACGGACATGGGCACCGGCATGAGAGTTACGGGAGCCCAATGCACTCACCGAATCTGCCTCAATCATAGGCGGGACGATAGTAGGTGGAACGATATTAGGTTGAGGTTGATTTGGGATTGAATGTTGCATCATCTCACGTCTGGGCCAGACGAGATGTGTTTTCTCGGGGACTGTGTCAAATAAAGTAGATACGGATTGAGTCACGTGAATTACTCGAGAGCTTCGTTCTCTCTGACAATCGAACTTTTTTAGTCTCTGATACAACTATTATCTAGCGTTTGTCATTCGAACCCCGACTCATCCTGGTGATTGCGTGCATGCTTTCGCGAGCACCGGAGGGTCCAAGCAACCGAGGCAAGCTTCCCCCTTGGCTTTCATCAACCCGCAGTCGGAGCAGAGATGACGCCTGTACCACTCATCCAAAATCTCGGGCTCACCAGCCGCAATCGTGCAACAATGGCGACACCGGCGCCGCCAGAAGCGATCTGGCTCTTCCCCTATGAACTGTAGAGTCTTGTCAAGGAACTTAGCAGCAGGTTTGACCTTGAAACAGCTGTAACATGGGTACGTGTATGTCTTCCCTAGCATCTCTCTCGACTCCGGGCCGAGACTTTCATCTACACTTTCGAATATTTCTCTGTATACCAGCTCAACCAGAGGCGCTTCTCTCGCGAAGACAAAGGTAAAGCGTCTGTGAATGGCTACCCAGTCAAGCTTGACTTGATGCATCATCGAGCAGCTGGCGATGCGTAGGTGGATGGCGTCGAGATAATCCAATTGGCCGATGATTAGTCGGAGAATCTCCCCAGAAAGAAGTTCCAAAGGCGAGAATTCCTTGTCTTTGTGGCACTGTCTGTTGACGATAATGCCTGATGCGCGATTGCCCCGACACCTATTGAACTCTGTACCAAGAAATCCACAGCCATGACAAGGGAAATACGAGACTCTATCCTTTTTAACAGGCTCTAGGTCGGCATAGTAGTTGTTCTCGATGGCGCAGGTCCAACAGCGGCGCGATTTCCGGAACGTTTGCGTGTGTGCCCGCTGCTGTCTGCTTTTCTTCGCAGCCGTGAGGCTATCCCCGAATTTGGACCTCGGAAAGACTTTCAGGCATTTATAACAAGCCCAAAACTCGTTTCGATGATCTCGGTCAACTCTTTGAATTACTTCCAGTCGTTCGGATGCGGGAATCGCATATTCTATCTTTGGATGAAGTGCCTCGTAGAAATGTCGGTTTGTGGATGTTAGAAGAGTTGCAGTAGGGTAGTCGCAGAAGCGGAGCACTTCGTATTGAAGGTCATAAGAGAGCTGTCCGAAAGGAAAAGTCCGGACTGGCGGGCCTGTCGAGTGAGTTTGTTCTTCCTTGAGTTTTGCCGCGTCGACGTGACACATTGCTGCTTCAGGTTGCGCCGCTTCGACCTTGGGTTCTGGGAGGTGGATATTTGAGGCCATAGCTAGAATTTGTCAGGGAATCTAACATATTATGTGTTCCAATAGATGGTCGAAGTTTCTAAATGTCTGGTAGCGAAAGTGGCCGTGCTGCTTGTGCTAAGATTTGAAGTATGCTACGTACGTAGCAATCAAGCAACAGGGGGTGCCGGGCGGAGTGGACGAAAGAATCAAGAATGCTTCGAAGTGACCGAGGAAGGTGAAAGATAATTTTGTGCATAGACTTTTTGACATGGACTTCACTTGATATATTATTTAATTCAGTCCTCTTTTTGAAGATGACGCATTCGGCGGGAGTTCTACACAAACTATCAGACTCTTGGAGTGAGTCATCCGATAAGGACTTCTGTGTCCTTTTCTTGGCCAACGATCTCCGTAACACAGAACATTTCCAACTTGGTCGGTATGGAGTCTTCTCTTTTTCAGTCCCCGCTTACCTTGAATAAAGTACACTAGAGCGAGAGCCTGCCTATTCTGGGCGTGGACTATAGCCTCCCCGATAAGACAAGATCGCACATCACGGAGCAGTAATCTTTGGACGAAGGCATGCAAATTATATGTACCTGATGGCTTCAAAGATATGTACACGAATCCTCTACCGTCTCAATGGGATGCTATCATGAGGGATACCCTTCATATCTCATCCTTCTTCCTTCATAGCTGCATGAAGACCCTCGTCTAGACGCACTGACTGTAGTAGTCATTCTGCTTCTGGCAGGTGAGGCCCGACTGGCAGGTAGTAGAGCCGGTGAACCCGTTGCCGCCGCACTGAGCCCAGCGAGCGGCACCGCCAGTGGCAGCAGCCGCAGGAGCGCTGGAAGCTGCCTCAGCAGTAGCACCACCACCGCACTTGCTCTTCACGACAGTGCTAAGTGTAGTGGCGGGCGCGGGAGTCGCAGCAGGAATGCTAGCCTTGGGGGTGGTGACAGGCGCAGCAGGGGCAGAGCTCTCGGGGACGGAAGGCTCAGCAGCAGGGACGGAGGGCTCGGCGGCAGCAGACTCTGAGGTAGGGGCAGCGGCGGCAGCGGAAGTGGTGACGGCAGCAGCGGCGCTGGTGGCAACTGCGGGAGCAGAGGTGGCAGGAGCAGCACCGCCTTTGCCGGCGGCGGCGAGAAGGCTGGAGATGCTGGTGTAGGCGGGCTTAGGCTTAAGGTCCTTGTCCCAGGGGAGGGCCTCGCCGGTGCCGGGGAAGACTGAGGGAATCCAAGAGTACTTGTCGGTGTAGTCCCAGATGGTGACGCCAACACACTCGGCGATGTCCAAACAGGCGCCGACAACGCTGACATAGTCAGTAGCTTGCTGTTCCTGGGCAGCAGTGTCGGCGGGGATGGCCTTGTGGCGGATGTCGAGCTCGGTATAGGCGACCTCGGTAACACCAGCGTCGACGTAGGACTGGAGGACGGCGCTCAGGGCAGAGCGGGAACCGGCGCTACCGACAATGAGATGGGCCTGGAGGCCGAGACCGTCAATGCGGGCACCAGAGTCCTTGATGTTCTTGATGATGTTGAGGACCTCCTTCTGCTTGTTACCGGCCAGCTCGATGTTGTAGTCGTTATAGTAAAGCTTGGCATCCGCATCGGCAGCAGCGGCGGCCTTGAAGGCGATGGGAATGAAGTCTGTTCCGAGAACCTTGTAAAAGACACTGTCGCGGTAGGTGCCGTCCTCGTTAAGGGCTTCGTTAACAACGTCCCATGCATAGCACTGGCCCTTGTAGTGGCCAGCGACGTTGGAGATGTGAGTGTCGATGATAGAGGTCAGCTGCTCCTTGGTCCAGGTGCCGGAAGACACCCAGGTAGGGAGCTGAGAGTGCCAGACGAGGGTGTGGCAGCGGAGAAGCTTGCTGTTGGTCTTGGCGAAGTCGGCGATCTCGTCGCCAGAGGTGTAGCTGAAGACTCCCTGGCTCTTCTCGGTGAACTGCCACTTCTGGCCGTTACCAGGAGTGATCTGGCCGAACATCTTTGCATCCTTCAGGATCTCGACGTAGGCCGTGTCGGTGAGCTCAGAGTTATCCGTGGCCGTGCCAAAGTACTTCTTGCCGGCCGCAACGGCGAGCTCGTGCAGGTTGGCGCTGACACCGGAGGCGAGCAGACCGGCTGCTGTGATGGTTGAGAAACGCATGTTGGCAAGGATATTGGAAAAGAGAGACTTATAGAGAGAGACTGGTAGAAAGAACGTAAACTGTTACGTCAAGGTAACAAGAAAAGAATGGAAGTGGATGGCAAAAGACGACGAAAGAGAGACCAAAGATAGGCCACTGTGCATCATGGCGGGAATCAAGTCGTTTTTCAATGTTCGTCCTCTTGACCCTTTCCTTACGCTCTTAGTCGCTTCCATCCCGCCCCAATCTACCTAATGCTGGAGGCTTGAACCATAGTAGCCGACGATCCGGGGGGCTCCATCCCCTGCAACGGAGAATCAGCGTATTGGCTGAAAGATGTCGCTTCCTTCAGCCAAAAGATGAAAGGGGTTCAGAACTGTAGGGCCAGGAGAGGATCTCCCGATGTGTTCTGGGGATCCCACCGGTCGTATCAGGGATGATGCTGGCGCGCGGGTGCAAAAGAGCTGAACATGGGCCGTCCTGTGGCCCAGTGGTCTTCACCTGAAGGCGACAGAAAGCTTTCCACTCTTGAGCAGGACAGAAACAGGCCAAACGAACCAGCTCATTGTGCCATCCGGACAAAAGCGGTTAAAACGGAGCTTGCCCCGCTCCGCCCCTGAATTTCCGGTGCTTCGGGGGGTCCACTTGCGACCATTTCGGGCCTTACGCCGGCAAGCAATTTGTTTACACGAAACACGCCATCTTTACGCTTTCAAGCATATTATCTTATTCACGACACCGTTCCATAAAATAAGGGGACGTCTTGACAACTGCCAGATTTGCTAAGGTGATTCTTTTGGTGTGAATGAATAGGTCTTGCCGGAGGTGCAAAACGCATGGCATACCTAGTACTTTAGCGACGTCAGTGGCTGACTGCGTCTTTCTTGCTATAAGGACTGATAAACTCAACTCAAGATTGGTCCACAAAAAAAGTCAGAGTTAAAGGGATAATTTAAGTCTTGACCAAGACAACCCAGTTATCACTATAGCATTGTAAATAAGGAGGATTTTGAGAACCATCTTGATTATTGCATATTAAAGATAGTCCTATCGCTGGATAAAATATTACTGATTATTCAGAAGCCATCCATCAAGGAGCGTAGTAGGTCTTGTTTAAAGACTTTGCGTTCGTTATTATCCCATAATAATGGTAAGTTCAATTCCTCCTTGTCATATTATCATTCTCCAAGTTCCATACTCGGCTGCGATTGTTGAAAGTTCTGCGAGTCTTGCTCAAGCTGTTGACCGATTAAGATGAGTTATCATCAAAAGACCGGCCAATGGAGTATTGTAGAGAGTCATTGGGCCCTTTAGAACTGGACATCGGGAGTAGCGCCGATGACGAGAACGGGGTTAAGCTTGACCTGGGCGTTGCGGACGCGGTCGACAATAGCCTGGGCGTTGGCAGTCAGGGTAGCAGCAGTAGTGAGAGCAAGGTTGCTGGCGGTTCCGATGGTGGCGAGTGTAGTGGCGGCGGCAGCCTGGGCCTGAACCAAAGCAGGAATGAGGATCGCGTTCTGGGCAACTCCGGCGACAGTTCCAGCGTTGGCGGTGACTTGAGCCTGGAGAGCGGCGATCTGAGCAGTCAGGGCTCTGGCGAGTGCCTGAGCTTGGCGGACGAGCTATGATAGACGTGTTAGTGATGAACAATGTCGAAGTGGATGTTTGATCTTACAGCTTCAGCCTGACCACCAACATCGGGAGTAGCAGGGGCAGTAGGGCTGGGAACAGGAGGGATCGCGGTGGGAGCAGCGGCGACAATGCTGGCGACGTTGGCAGCGATGGCAGCGGCGTTGGAGCTCAGCTGAGCAACAACGGCTTGGACCTGATCAGCGGCCTAGATGTCGGGATTAGTTTCATGTATGTTCTATCAACTTTGAATAGTGATAGCCTTACAGCTGTCGCAGTGCCGGTAGCTTGAAGGGCAAGGCTGTTGGCGAGAGCGGTGGTCTGGGCAATCTGGCCAGTAAGGACCTGAAGAGTGCGGAAGGCCAACTCGTTGGCTCCAAGCTCGGCAGGGTTGAAAGAGATGCCAGGAGTGACAATGGTTCCAGGAGTGATGGTAGCACGAGGAAGAACGGCTCCCTGAACTGAAGCGAAGGAGAAGGCGGCGAGCGCGGCGGTGAAGATCTTGGACTGCATTTTGGAGGTTGGTGTGAGGTTGATGTGTTATGAAGATGGTATTGGTGAGGAGAACTGTTCAGATGGTTGTGTCTGAGTATTGAGTGTTGAGATGCTTTGTGGGCTGATGAGGAGAGAAGAAGTTATGATAAGAAGGGAGACGTTGACACCTCTTATAGTAAATTGAGATGCTGTCTTCAAGCCCACGATACCCACAATATCAACGTTTTGGAGATTCGATGCTGAGAAGTTCTCAAAATGTCTGAAAACGAGCATCACTCTACCAGAGGCGGTGGGTAAGCGTATGGTGGCTTGCTGGGCATGGCTCTTTCCGCGAACTAGGAGCTCCATCCGAAGCTCCGGCTAATTCGAGTTGCACAACGCTCCTCATCTTTGTGAGCCAACAAGATGTCATTGCCGAGCATCAACTGCAAGGGATTGTCTCTTTTCCGTCTGCAGAGGAATGACGAGACAACAAAACCCCTCCGTAAGACTCGAGGCGGACGGACGAACTGGTGGAGGCACGCTAAGGGATGGGTCCCGATCTTGATGTCGGAGGCCTGGGCTGATCTAGAAGGGGCCGCGTTCCTCGGCATCCCACTATCCTTCTCCATCTCCTCCAATAGCTTCAGTCAGCAGGCAATGTCTTCGAAATAATTATCGCTTGTCTCAATTTGATGTCAGGCGCCGCCAAGGCGTCAAGCTAAACCCCAAGAACGTCGAGTCATCTTGGCTTCCCGGGCTGGACTACCGCGCGGCATCGAGATGGTGGATTCGGCATACA